GCTGTGTTACAAACACACCAACCCGCTCTGCTCAACCCACAACTCAGAGCACCTTCTCTCAGTGGCCTGACAAGTGGCAAACCATCTGTCTCTTCAGTCTTTCTAAAAGACTTAATCAAGAAAAATGCCACCCATGGAGGGAGCAGGCTCAACTATAGCAAACAAACAGAAGGAAAGGTCAAACAAATCATACAACACTTAGTAGGCCCCACTCTGAAAAGCACACGTATATAAGAATTGTGGTTTCTGGTCTAAAAGCCAAATCAGGGCAGTTCTTCTGACACTATTTTCCACCACTGCCTTTGTTATAATCTCTTTAGGAGGTCCTCCCTTAAGCCAGGGTAGGCTCTCACCACCATCAGTGCTCTTTTCCTCAGCCCTTCTACTCACCTTCAGCTTCTCGGAGGCCATCACTGCTGACCCCAAAGCAGTCATTTAATAACTGGTGAGGTCAAGGGTCCATGGCACAGGCTGTTTTTGGTCAGGAACCCTCTTACATTGGCAGGCTCACGGCCCCGCCTCCTTCAAATCTTCGCCCAGAAGTTCCTTTCAAAATGAGTATGAGCTTAATTCCCATATTCAAAATTATAACCCCCATGCCTCAGAAATCTGTCCCTTTTCCCTGCTCTGGTTTTCTCTTTGGCATTTCTCACTACCTTACATTCTGTTTTACCAATTTTACCATCTGTCTCTACGTATCAGGACAAGAGACTCCACGAGGGTAGGGATGTGGGCTGTTTTGTTGACTGTTATAGTCTCGTGGCTTTGAAGAGTGCCCGGCATATAGGAGGCACACAGATATTTATTAAGTGAATAAATATCCAAAAATAGATATTTGTCCCTAACCCTCAGATCTCCCCCAATTTTCGAATTCAGGCTATAACCTTGGAACTCCCCTAAGGAAGAAATGGAAGTGTTCCTTCCAAAGGGACACAAGTGGCAACTAGATCCAGGTTTCCCATAGGCAGAGAAGGAATCTGGAATGATGAATTTTGTCCAGTCCTGGCTACCAGAAAGATATAAAGGGAGAATAAATAAAAGTAGAGAAAAGTCAGGGATGGCCTTCTCAGCAGAATGGGAAGCACGGCAAGAGGAAGACTGCTATAAAGAAAAAAAAATTAGTTTATGAAATTCCTTTTAGCAAAAGTAGTAAGTGCCTGACAAAGTAAGAAGCACCATGTACTGGGTTAAGACCTTGGTTCTAATTGAGCCTCTGCCATTAACCAACCAAGTAACCTTTGGCCAAATCACATCACTCTTCTTGCCTCAACTATTTCCTCAGCTTGCAGGATAGGATGGGCAGTGAACTAGATTTTAGAGAAATTCTGACTGTGGAATTCTTGACTTGCCCCATCCTTCCTCCCTCAAGGAAGAAATTTTACAATTCATATACTACATCAGACAAGAAACTGCCCCGGGAGCTTGAAGGCTTGCAAATTGGTCCCCAGAGAGGCCCAACAGTGGTGGCAAACAAGGAAGCTGACCTGCAAATCTGGGGAATGAGGGACCCTTCCCTTTGACTCCAGGATCCCTGGCTGCAATGCAAGAAGTTCACTTACCTTTCCTCTCAACAGTGTCCCTGGCCTAGTAAAAGAGGAAGGTAGGGACACCCTGCCCAGACCTTCTACCTGCAGCCCAACCTGCTCAAGTTCTAAGAACCACCTTCTTGTTCAGGATTCCCCCAGGGCCATGGCCAAGGCTCAGCTGCCTGCTGCAGCCTCAGCATGGGGAGCTGAGGGACTGCACTACTTCATCAACCAAGCAGGCTGTCCCCCGTTCCAGAGCTCCTCTTCTCTGAGGAATTGTGAGCTCTACCTGCTCCTGGAGTCAAGCTCTCCATGAAGGTCAAGGTGCCAAGCTGTGGCAGCATCTGAAAGAGCCATTTTATAAGCACATTAAAGACATATCTTCAGTAAGCACAAAATCCTTAGTCTTAGTGCTTGTTTATGAATTGTGTTAGTAGGAACTAGTATCAATTAGTTCAATTGATTGCTCAACCACGGGGCACTGTAAAAGGTTAGCTATATTACTTCTGAGCCAACAAGGGAGAGGAACAGTACCTGGAACAGTCATTTCCGGAGAATGCTTTCAGTACCTGCCACCAAATCACTGCCCTATTCCTCCTCATTGATGAAACTTGGACTTAAGCATTAAGGCTTTAGGGACTTCCCTGGTGGCACAGTGGTTGAGACTCCGTGGCCCCAATGCAGGAGGCCTGGGTTCAATCCCTGATCCGGGAACTAGATGCCACATGCATGCCGCAACTAAGTTCGCATGCCACAGCTGAGGAGCCCGTGTGCCGCAACTAAGACCCAGCGCAACCAAGTAAATAAAAAAATAATATTAAAAAAAAAAAGAGTTAAGGCTTTAGATAAGTGGTTCTCAACCTTCAAGATGCATTAGAATCAAACAATGGGCTTTTAAAAGATTTTTAAAATATTGAGTCCAGTGGCTTATTGCTAGAAATTCCAATTAAATCAGCCTGTGTGGTACCAAGCATTGAAGCTTCCTATGAATATAATTTAGTAAAACTACCTTGGAAAAGATTGGCAATTTCTACTTATATAAAACTGCTCCTATATGTGTCCTATTACTCCACAATTCTACTCTTAGGGATGTAACCAACAGAAAGGTATATATTATATGTTCCATGAAAAGACATATGAAAGAATGCTCATAGCACTATTCATAATCACCCAAAACTAGAAACCAAAATGTCCATGGATAAGCAAATAGTGGCATATTCACATAGAATACAAAACAGCCATGAGAGTAAATGAACTACAACTACCTGCAACATGAAATAATTTAAGAAACACAACATTGACTGAAAGAAGCCAGACACAGAAGACTTTATACTGTATGATGTCATTTACATAAAGTTCAAAACCAGGCAATACTAATCCGCAGTGTTGGAAGTCAGGATAGTGATTACCTTTGTTGGGGATGGTGATGGGATGGGAGTGAGAGAGGGGCTTCTGGAATGCCAACAATGTCATTTCTTACTGGGTGCTACTCAAGTTCAGTAATGAAAAACTCATTGAGCTCTACACTGACGACAGTTGCACTTTTCTGTATGTATTCATATGTAAATAAAAAGAAATATCAAAAACAAAAAGCTCCCAAGGTGATTTTAATCTGTAGCTAATGTTGAGAACCATTGAAATAGATCTCAAGGCCAGACTTCCCTGGTGGTCCAGTGGCTAAGACTCCACGTTCCCAATGCAGGGGACCTGGGTTCGATCCCTGGTCAGGCAACTAGATCCCACATGCTGCAACTAAAGATCCTGCATGCCACAACGAAGACCCTGCAGGTGGCAATGAAGATCCTGGAGCAGCCAAATAAATAAATAAATATTAAAAAAAAAACAAACGGAATGAATCTTAAGCAACTATCACTGTCAAAGAGATAATGAATCAATCATCTCTGTATACATTAACTAATTACTAATCGTTAACAGCTAACTTGTACTGAACACTTATTATGTACCAGGAACAATTTTAAATGCTCTTCAGTTAGGAACTCATTTAATTCTCCTAACAATTCAATGGCCTAGATATTATCTTTATTTTACATTTGAGAAAATTTTGGCACAGAGGATAGCTAATTTGCTTAATGCCACAAAACTAGTAAGGAGCGAAAGAAGGTTTCTAGGTGTTTTGGATATAGACACAAATAAGACAATGCATGTATTTGCCCTTATGGAGCTTACAAGTATATTTAACTTGCTCTCCACTCAGCCAAAACATATCCAGTAAGCACCTATTCTCAGTAGCCTGCCAAGAAGCAAACCTAAACTACCTCTTCACAACCAGTCTTTCTAAAAAGACGATTTTACCAAGAAAAGCCACTGATTAAGGGACTGGGTTTGAAATATAAGCAAACAAAAAACGAAGGTCAAGCACAAACAATGCAGTTTAGCAAACCACATGCAGAAAAGCACTCAGATGTACGTATTGTGATTTCTAATGTAAACGTTTGGGGTTCCTCCTCACCAATGTGAAAGATTCACCACCATCTAACTTACATCTCACCTTCTTTGTCCACCATCTCTAGCTTCCAGGAAACTCAAGGTGGGTTTCACTGCCAATGACTCTATAATTCACTCAAAAACCTCTGCTCACAAAATTAGGGCTTCATGGGGCAATTATTGTTGCCAGCTACAGTTGTTACCAAATAACTGGTGAGGTCCAAGGTCCCAAGAGCAACCTCCAGGTGGATCACACAAAATATATCCTTTCCCCTTCTACTTTCATCTTTCCCCACCAGTCACCTCCCAGACAAAAAACAGCCAGGTGTTACTCCCAGGGAATTAACTCTGGCAATCATATACACTAGCGAAATATTCAGACTTCCCATAGGGTAGAAATGGCAGAGGTCAAAAGGAATAGAAAATACTGTCAGGACTCAAGAGCCAAACCAGAAAGTAAATCTAGGACCAGGACACAGGAGATAGCTGTTAGAGGGGCATGAAATTGACGGAAAAAGAAAACGTTTAGTGGGTTCCACTTAGCAAATGATGACTCTGGTGCAGTGGGTAAAGCTATGGTCTGGAAGGAGACTCTCTGCCACTTATCAGACTTGTAACCTTGTTACCTCACTAATCTCAGTCTCCGCACCTCCAAATTACAGGGCAAGGGAATTAACTGGATTTCTGAGTTCTGACTGGGATGCTGCAGGCAACCCAAACTACTCTCTCGTCTGGCAGCTGCACTTCTGGGAGCACAGTCGTCGGGGTGAGTAAGAGGACTTGTCCCAGAAGCGTAGGAGCCAGCTGGCACAGCCACCAGGCCCCTTTCTTTGGTTGTAGGGAACCGGCCTTCAGGTGTGAAGGGCTCAGGACAATGTCCCCCCTCTCCACCCGGCTGGCCAGACTCTTAGGCTACAAGTCTCCCTCCCGCAAAAAAAAAAAAAAAAAGGGTCCTTAGGGACCTGCACACCCTGCTCACAGCCCTTGCCGGCAGCCCAACACGCCCTAACAACAATGACAGGTCCTTACGCAGAGATGACCTTCCCGTTCAGGATTTCCGCCGGCGCCATGACCCCTGTATAAGTCCGCAGCCCACAATGGACACCGACAAAATCGAGGCTCGACTCGCTCCGCTGCGGCGCGCGATTGCCCAACACACGCGCTTAGCGACTGCCCAGGCCGACCCTGCTACTGCGCGTGCGCCCCCCTGGTCATGGATGCGCGCGTGCGCGGTCCAGACGGACGTAGGCCCCTTAGCGAAAAGCCGAGGAGTAGAGGGTCTGAAATGCCACGGGAAGATGAGGGAACTCTGTGGAAGACTGGATGGAGGAAATAATTGGCTGGTGGAAGGACCCTTGCGAGAATGCGCCATCGTGTGGGCAGGGAAGCAGCTGAAGAGGGAATCACCCCCGATTCCAGCCTTTAGGTGGCGGGGCAGTGGGCGGAGCCAAGGGGCGGTCTCGCGGGAGACCAGTTTGGCGGGCGCCGGAGGCCTGCGTGGGCTGAGGGGGCGGGGCTTCTACTGGAGTGTTGTGCTCCGGCTCCCGCGTGGGGAGCTTAGGTGGGCCCCGGGCTGGCCGGCAGGGGGTAGGCCTGCGGAGTGTGGGGCGGCGTCCGGCGTTCTCGCTCCCCGGCTCCGTCAGACTGGTGTCGGGACCCCCACCCCAAAACTGAATCGGACAGTCTGGGTGGCGCCTCTGTTTTAAAAATCTCCTCAGGTGAAGCTGATACTCCGCCATGGTTGAAACCCAGCCCGCTGTTTCAGGCTAGTGCAGCTGGAGCTCCGCGTGGCTCCCTCAGGGTGTGGATAACCCCAAGTTAGCCAGTACGGGGAGGGTCGTCAGCTTTGCGAGTCTAGATTTTGCCAGATTCCCCCACGCAGATCTGGGGTTGGAGAAAGGACGCGGGCCTTACATAAACAGGATGCCTAGTGACTGACAGGGGCAAACACTCCTCCCTCTTGGAAGGCAGCCGGGGTGTTTGCGAGGACTGGGCCTGCAAGTTTCTGATTGGTTCCAGGACCGACACACAGATACTAAAATCCTCAAATGCTGAAGTCCGTTATAAACAATGGCGTATTTTTTACATACAACCTAAGCACATACTCCCGTGCATACTCCTGAGATTACTCTAGATAGGTAATCTCTAGATGACTGATGCAAGGTAAATGCTATATAAATAGGTGCTGGTATGCTGCAAATTCAAGTTTTGCTTTTTGTAACTTTCTGGAACTTTTTTTTTTAAACTTTTATTTATTTATTTTTTTATCTTTTTGCGGTACGCGGGCCTCTCACTGTTGTGGCCTCTCCCATTGCGGAGCACAGGCTGCGGACGCGCAGGCTCAGCGGCCATGGCTCACGGGCACAGCCGCTCCGCGGCATGTGGGATCTTCCCAGACCAGGGCACGAACCCGTGTCCCCTGCATCGGCAGGCGGACTCTCAACCACTGCGCCACCAGGGAAGCCCCTGGAACTTTTTTTTAAAAAATAATTTTTGACCCAGGATTGGGTGAATCTGAGGATGTGGAACCCAAAAATACTGAGGGCCAACTGTATAATAACTTTAAAATGTTAAGGACTTCTGAATACATACCGTCACATTATGTTATACCTGGACAACTGAAATTAAGACGAAAATTGAAGCAGATGTTCCTGGAAAATTACAGGTAGTGAAACTTTTGTGATTGTAATACTAAATAGATATTGACTACAGCTTCTTGTTTGCTGAGGAAGATGACAGAAACCCCGATTTACAGATGGAGAAATAGACTTTGAAGGATAACTTAGTCAAAGATACATAGCTGTGCCTAAAATTAGGACCAAAACTGGATGCTTCACATATGTTGCCTTTGCACCGTAACGGCCTGGTTTTCAACTATAATATCCCTATGTGACCTGTACAATTCATTCATTCATTCACTGAGCAGATAGTTATTGAGGAGCTACTGTGTCAACAACACAAGACACTGCTCTAGGTGCTAGACATACCACGGTGAACCAATAAAGTTGCCCCCCCCCACATCAGCTAATGATCAATTAAAGAAATATGTACTCTAATTTTAGATATTGAGACGTAGCATTTTTTTAAAATAGGCAAGCTAAGAGGATAGGGAATGGTGGTGGGAGGCAGGAGAGTGCTGTTTTAGAAGTGTGCTAAGAGAGGCTTCTCTGGGGAATCTGACTTGAGCAGAAACCTCCATAAAGAGAGGAAGGTAGGGTGTAAGAAAAAAAAAAAGCAAGGGATTGGTTTGAGCAACTGGTAGATGGAGTTGCCATTACAGAGATGAACTAAGTTTTTAAATGTTTTTAGATGCCTCTTAGACATCCAGATGTCTTAGTGATATTCATATAAACGAGAGATATGATAGTTAAATCCATGAGATTGGATGAGCGCCCAGGAAGAGAATGAGTGTAGGTAGAGAGAGGACCTAGGGCTGATGCCTATGACACTTCAATGTTTAGAATTCAAAGAGATGAGGAGGAACCAGGAAGGAAGATTGAAGAGTCCAGCGTGTTATGAGAAAAAACTCTGAGAGCACGCAGACTTAGATGACAAGTGAAGAAGAGTCTCACAGGAGTAAGAGGTAACTAATTTTGCCAAGTATATTGCACATTGGTCAAATAAGATAAAGACTGAGAACCGATCGTTTCACAGAGAATAGAAAGATAAAATATTTTTATTCAAATCCTGTTAATGGTAATTGCTTGAAAAACTGTGTATCCTTTCTGCAGAAGTTCCATTTTTACAAAAATTTTGAGGGTTATTTGATAATATCTATCAAAACTTTAATGTGTGCTTTCTTTGATCTTGTAATTCCACTTCTACGAATTCATCCTATAGTAATAATTACACGTATATACAAACATATATGTATAAAAGTGTTCCTCACAGCATCAATTTACATAGTAAAAAACAATAAAATCTCCATCAGGGTGGATGAAGTTGTTAAAGGAACAATGGATATGGGCTTCCCTGGTGGCGCGGTGGTTGAGAGTCTGCCTGCTGATGCAGGGGACACAGGTTCGTGCCCCGGTCTGGGAAGATCCCACATGCCGCGGAGCGGCTGGGCCCGTGAGCCATGGCCGATGAGCCTGCGCGTCCGGAGCCTGTGCTCCGCAACGGGAGAGGCCACAACAGTGAAAGGCCCGCGTACCACCAAAAAAAAAGGAACAATGGATATATACTATAGATGCACTGTAAGACAACTTTCACAAATTGTTAAAAGATCAAGGCAGGTTATCCAGTAAAATGTATAATAAAATTTAAATGGATATTATAAAATGTATAATATCCAGTAAAAATATAATGTTAATATATTCAAACCAGACCTTCTTTGATTACATTATCAAAAACTGCCCCCTCACTTACCTCCTTGTTACTATACATTAGCTTATTTTACTCACAGCACTGAACACTATCTAAAATGATTTTATTTATTTATATACTTGTTTACTATCTTTTTCTTTTTCCACCAGAATTTCAGCTTTATAAGAAATTTCCTGTCTTGTTCATAGTTATGTTTCTGCTGCTTGGGGATGTAATTTTTAAAATCTAGTTTTAGAGGGAAAAAACGGATATTTCTTATTTTCCTTGTTTAGTTATTAAACTATTACTATCATTCCTATTAATACTAATTTTATCCCTGCCTCATTTTTATATGTAAATAAAGATGGGGGACAGTCGTTCTCAACCCTAAAGTCACACTAGAATTACCTGTGTAGATTTTTAAAAATATTTGTGCTTAGGCTCTCCACTGCAGACCAATTAAGTCAGAACTTGGGGTAGTGTCAGAGTATCAGTATTTTCTTTTTTTTTTTTCTTTTTTTGGCTGCGTTGGGTCTTCGTTGCTGCATGCAGGCTTTCTCTAGTTGTGGCAAGCGGGGGCTACTCTTCGTTGCAGTGAGCGCGCTTCTCATTGCGGTGGCTTCTCTCGTTGTGGAGCACGTGCTCTAGGCATGTGGGCTTCAGTAGTTGCGGCACATGGGCTTAGTAGTTGTGGCTCACGGACTCTAGAGCGCAGGCTCAGTAGTTGTGGCGCACGAGCTTAGTTGCTCCGCTGCATGTGGGATCTTCCCGGACCAGGGATCGAACCCGTAGTCCCCTGCATTGGCAGGCGGATTCTCAACCACTGCGCCACCAGGGAAGCCCAGTATCAGTATTTTTTGAAGTTATCTTTGAGATTCTAATGGGTGGTCAGGGTTGAGAACCACTAGATTAGATGATATTTGAAGTATAATTCTAGTGATTCTGGTATCAAGAATACATAATAGGGACATAATTTCTAAGAATTAGAATACCAGTTTTTCAGACAAATCATCTTTTGCTTTAGGAATTGTAGATGGAATCATCATTTTTCTCCTACTTTCAAAATACTTCTTTCTTGATAAGGTGTAGGTATTGAAGTACAAAAATTTGACCTACTCCAAGAATTTCACAAAAGAAAACTCCAAAATATAAGTTTTACCTTTGCTGGAATGTTTACTTTCAGTGGGATCACTTTCCTAAGAGTTGTTAAGTTCGCTCATGCTTGATGAAGCCAATTTATGTTTTCACTTCATTAATTAGGGAAATAAAGACCCACAGGCCTTACTTTATCACTTTAGGAGGTCTCTTTGCCCTTCCCTGGACCTCTGTGATGCGTTCACCTAGCAACAGCTCCTTTGATGTGCAAACATTCTTTTGGTAAATAGTGCAGGGCAGCCACTCATACTGGACAATTCAGGTTTCTTCTAGAATTGACCTTGGATTTGAAATTTTCTCTTGTGCCTGATATGGTAAAAATTTATGGTTTTTACTTTCCACTAAATGAAGCATAGCATACTGTATCTTTCTAATGTGAGTATTGATGAATCTTATGACTGTGTAAAAAATAGTTATGTACAAACCTAAATTTAACTGAATAATTGTGTCATATTGCCGTATTTTATTTTTTACTTCAGACTCCTATTATATTTTTATTGTATTTCTATAAGGTAAGTTTGGAAGAACAGTACTATCACCTATATAAGTTAACTTTGTATATAAGGGTGGTTTTTTTGAAAGAACTGTTGGGTTCTTTAGTTGTTCAATCTGTAGTTTTTGTTCCTCGTATGCCATGATAGAGATAAACCAGAAATAGATTCTGCTCTTAATGTACCTTTAATTTAGTAGGAGACGTAAGATTTTTACATAATACAATATATATATATTTTTAATAAATTTATTTATTTTTGGCTGCGTTGGTACTTCGTTGCTGGGCATGGGCTTTCTCTAGTTGCAGTGAGTGGGGGCTACTCTTCGCTGCGGTGTGCAGGCTTCTCACTGCGGTGGCCTCTCCTGTTGCGGAGCACGGGCTCTAGGCACACGGGCTCCAGCAGCTGTGGCGCACGGGCTCAGTAGTTGTGGTGCATGGGCTTAGTTGCTCCGCAGCATGCAGGATACTCCTGGACCAGGGCTTGAATCTGTGTCCCCTGCATTGGCAGGCGGACTCTCAACCACTGGGCCACCAGGGAAGTCCCCATGATACAATATTGAATGAGATAACAATCAAAGGAAAAGTATAGATCATATACTGTAAGAGTCAGGAGGAGAGAGAGATTACCCTCACCTTGTGTGAACCAAGGAAGGAGGTGGTACTTGAGATACTGCAGGATCAGTTCATGCTTCTGGGGATATATTTTGGCCCACATAGTAGCTTTTTTCTTAGAGGCAATATGAGTGAAACTAATAAGTTGTTTTTAATAGAGCATAAGATTCACAAAATGGTAAGGAAATAAAAATAAAAGCAGAGGATAGGATTCTTAAGAAAACCTTTGTCTCCAGTATGATTCTTGTGCCAGGACTGAGGAGCAGTTCATTCTCCCTTTTCAATTCACCAAAATTTTAGTTGTTCTTTTAAGTCTCTTCTCTGGTTCTTAGAAAAGGAATTGATATAGTAATGATTTTAAGTATCAAATAATTAAAATGGGGACGAGACTAAAGTTTCATTAAAGATAATTGTTCTTTAGTAAGTGTCTTCAGTATCAATAAATCTAAATCCACTGGGGTGGTGAGAGATGAGGGTGTTAGGGCAGCTGCTATTACAAGTCTATGTGAAAGTACTACTGGACCATCCTGTACCTTTTTTTTGTTTGTTTTGCGGTACGCGGGCCTCTCACTGTTGGGGCCTCTCCCGTTGCGGAGCACAGGCTCCGGACGCGCAGGCTCAGCGGCCATGGCTCACGGGCCTAGCCGCTCTGCGGCATGTGGGATCTTCCCAGACCGGGGCACGAACCCATGTCCCCTGCATCGGCAGGCGGACTCGCAACCACTGCGCCACCAGGGTAGCCCTTTCTTCCTTTTCAGAGATAACTTCTGAACTAAGTGTATAGCCTTTATGTCCATGTTTTTAGATATATGTGAATGCTTCTTATGTTGTTTTGGGGATTTAAAAAATTACATAAATGATATTCTACTAGACATAACTTTCTACCTTGCTATTTGCACTCAATCTTATGTTTTTGAGAGTAGTTCTTTTTGATTCACATAAATTTAGTCTGGGCATGTTAACTGCTGCATAGAATTCCATTACAAATTATAGTAATATATCAGTTTTTACACATTTTAGTTTTTTCTTATATAAACAAGCTAAGTGAGTATTCTTGTACAGCATGTCTCCTTGTTCATATCTTCTAAACTATGAAATAAGAAAAGTTTTCAAGCTGTATTTGAAAGAACTTGACTACAAAATTAATTGCTGGTTGAATATTTCTTATTTTTATAAATTAAAAACCTAATTGAACATAGTATTACTTTTTTCTTTTTATTATTGGTGTTTGAAATCTTAGTGATATTGTGGTGTACTAAAAATAAGACATTTAGCACATTTTAATCAATTTGCCCTTTTGTTTTAGATCTCAGGTACACAGTCAAGTTAATCATGCTTAGTTCATGGTACAGTATCATCTTTCTGTGCAAGACCCCTCTCACTTTATTTTTTCTCCATCTCCGTTTCTATCTCATCTCAGTCTAATATGTTTGACATATGTCTTTGGATATATATGCATCTTAAAAAATATGTAGTTTTGTTTTGTGAATGGATTTTTTTAAAACATAGAATAAAAGAATATAGAAAAAATAGAATAAAAAAATAGAAAAGAACTGTAAAATGTATACACACAGATTAGGTAATAAAAGAAATACCTATGAACCCATCACCTAGTTTCATAAAACACTGCCAGTACCTTAGAACCTTCCTGTGTGCCCCTTACTAACTGAATCCCTTTACTCCCACCTAAACTTAAAAATAGTGGATATTTGAGTTTTGTGTCTATCATTTCCTTGCTTCTCTTCCTAGTCTTATCACTCATATATGTATCCCTAATAAATATTAATTTTATCTGTTTTAAAAGTTTGTTTAACGGAATTATACTGCTTTTGTGTTTTTGTTACTTCTTTTACTTCATGAGATTTCTGTTGATCTATGTACAATTATTCAATAATTATTCTATTGTACAAATATACCATAAGTTACTTATCCATTAAACTCTTATTTAACATGTGGGTTGTTTTCAGTTTTTTGCTTTTTTGAATAACATTGTTAATCTTTGCTTTTAACTGGAAAGTTTAGTCCATTTGCATTTATTGATATTACTGGTTATTTGGGTGTATTTCTATCATCATATGTGTAATCTATTTGTCCCATTATTTTTGTTTCCTCTTCCCTCCTTCTTTCGTACCAGAAACTGATTGTTTTTTTTTGTTGTGTTGCATTTTTTCCTTTTTTTCATTCTATTTTTTCCTTTTCTACTAGTTTATAAGTTATATGCTGTATGACTATGGTTTAACTAGTTATATTAGCTGTTTTAACATATATACTTAGCAAAGTTAACTGAAATCTGTATGGTTACTCTTGAGAAATATGAATATTTTATAGTGCTTTAAACTGTTTTTCTCCTCTCAGTGTGTATGCTTTTTTTTTTGTCCTGCATTGGTTCTATTCCTTATTTTCAATCCCATAAATCACACTTTTTAAATTAATTAACACTTATGTAAATATACCCACATAATATTTACTGTTTGTTCTTTTTTTTTACTAGTCTTTCTTGTATCTCAGACTTTGTGAGTTCATTTTCTTTCTATGTGAAATGCATCCTTTAGAATTCTCTTAAGTGAGGACCTATTGGTGGTAAATTCAATTTTTGTTTGTTTAAAATATCTTTATTTTACTCTTAATCTTAAAACATAATTAAGTATAAAATTCTGGTTGGCAGTTACCTTATATCCTTGATTTGAAGAAATACTACTATTTTATCCACTATTTTGAAATTCAAAAGTATGTTTTCAGCTAACCTATGCATATATGAATTAGCATCAACTTTAAGCTGCAGCCCAGTTGCAGAGATGTGAACATTTGTGCATCTTAGACTCAGTAAAAGATGATATATTTTTCTTAGTACATTACAGATATCATTTTGCTGTTTCTCAGCCTCTGTTACTATTGAGAAGTCACTCACCAGTCTAACTGCTATTTCTTTGTAATTATCTGTCCTTTCTATTATCTGCTTTTTAGATCTTTCTTTATGTTCTACAGTTTCATTATGAGCGTGGAGGTAAAGAAATTTTTTTAGTCACTTTTCTTGGGATTTGCTAGACCACTTAGATTGGAATCTTTCAACAATTCTGTAAAATTATCAAAACATTATTTCTTCACATAGTGTCTCTTCCCCCTTCTCTAGTATGTAGCCTTCTTGGACTCCAAATAGACGTATGATAGGCCTTCTCATTTCAATCTCTCTGCCTTTAAACTCTCTTTCACCATTTATTTTTTTTCCTATATGCTTGATAATTTCCTTCATATTTGAGTTCACTCATTCCTCAGCTATGTCTAAGTTGCTTTTTAATGTGTCCATTCAGTTTTCAAATTAAAACGATTACACTTTTTATTTCTAAGAGTCTTATTTGGTTGTTTTTCCAACATGTTTTCCAATATGTTAATTCTTTGTGGTCTCTTGTGACTTAATCACATTTTCAAAAGTTCTCTATTTTTTTAAATATTTAAACATAGCTATTTTGTATTCTCTTATGCAGGCCTATGTTCCTAGTATCTTGGTAAGCATAAAATTCGAAAACTTGATAACTTTAGAAAAATGTATTTTGTTCCTTTAATACATTAAGCACCATGTGATATATTTATACTTTTTAGAGATTTAGATTAACACATTTTTCTTGGCTTCATTTGAATCATATAAACTTTGTTCTTAACCAGTTATGCTAATTAAAATTTAGAACATTATACACTCTTTTGACAATAGGAGGAGATATTGCAATACAGGTAAATCTCCCTAATTTTTACCCTCAGTAAGGTGTGAAAGAAGCACAAAATTGATGTTGATTTACTGAAATCAGATTTTTTTTAAAAATCAATTTGTATAATGATAGAAGCATAGGAATTGATTTGTAATCAAAAATAAAACAAATACTGGTAAATCTTTCATCAGTGACCTTATAAGAGTTCAAGTTTCTGTAAAGGTTTTACTAGATGTGAATTAAAATTTCCCCAGACATTTTATATGTGTTTTCTTGATTCCTACACTCTCAGAAATTATGTTTATTAGATGTGCTGCATTTACTTATCACTGGTGTGGTAAATTGTCAGGTAAGAATTTTTAGAAAAATGTAAAGTTGCCTTTTAGGTTAACATGTTACTTGCTACTTTCTTGAGACCTATTTCATTTGTTAGGATAGCACCTCAAAATCAATATTTTAAAGTTGTATTTTATTTAGAGTTACTTACTTGAGTTTGTGTGGGCTAAAACATTGCGGTTTTTGATCTATAGTTACATGTTTAATTAATTAATTTGAAATTTCTTTTTGTAGGCTTGTTTTGATCCACCTCTTGAAGTGGTTCCCACCAGGAACCCAATCACGTGCAACAAAAGGGCAGCTGACCCAGTCCATCCTGACCTTGCTGGTTTGTTGGTGAAATACAAGAATCTTTTAGCTGAGGTATATGGATTACCTGAAAATAAAACACCATGGGAAATTATATCCTCTGTAGGGAGAGAAACATTCTGATAAAAAGCTCAAAGTATTATCTGAACTCAGTTTTGCTGTTTTCTCAATATTGAAGCCGCTTATCACCGAGGAGCACTAATGTAGACCCAAATCTGTCTTTTGCCAGAGAAGTCCCTTTGAATATGGTATAATATGTAGTGCCGCTTTTGAGTTAGTGCTGAATGCTGTAGTATTAGAACATTGCTTAGGAGCTGCCATGCTCAAAATGTATATAATAATAATAGTTACATGTATTAAGCATTTTTCAATGGAAAGGGTGAGTTCCCACTTTCCAATATAGCACCAAATGGCAAATACCCACTGCTCTTATTAAATACTTAATGAAACATCTGTGTAATATCAACAGATGAAAAAGAAACCACATTTGTAGGAAATGCCTTGACACCCTGTGATGAACTAGAGAGTGCCTATAGGAATTCTTTAGTTGAACTCAAGCACCCTTAAACATTTGTTGCAAGAGATAGGTAACCAAGTTTGGAATCCCAAAGGCCATTGTCATTGTTAAAGGTAACATGATGTGGCTGCTTACGTCTGTATTGCCTCTATGGTTACCTTTAAGTAAAATGTTCTAAATGCTTTTAGTGGGACATTGACCACCCTTTTGAATAAGTAGCTATCTATGGTGTCTGTATTGGTTTGCTTGGCCTGCCAGAATAAAGTGCCATGGACTGGGTGGCTTAAATAACAGAAATTTATTTTTTCACAGTTCTGGAGGCTAGAAGTCCAACGTAAGGTGTCAGCAGGGCTAGTTTCTTCTTTTTAATGTTTTCCCCAGCTTTATTGCCATATAACTGACATAACATTGTGTAAATTTAAGATGTACAATGTGGTGATTTGATATACACACGTATTGCAAAATATTACCACAATAAGGTTGGTTAATACGTCCATCACCTCACATAATTACCTTTTTTTTTTTTTCATGATGAGACAGTTGGTTTCTTCTGAGGCCTATCTCCTTGGCTTGTAGATGGTCATCTGTTCTCTGTGTCTTCTCTTGGTCACTGTGTCCAAATTTCTTCCTCTCATTAAGAACATCAGTCATGTTGAATTAGGGCTCACCCTAAAGATCTCATTTTAACATAGTTACTTCTTTAAACACCCTATCCTCAAATACAGTCACATTCTGGGGTACTAGAGGTTAGGACTTCAACATATGAATTTTGAGGGGACACACTCAGCCCATAAGAGTGGCTTTATTCCTTGAGACCTCTTTTCTGCTCAGGACCTCATTAAAGTTCTTTTCTGCTATCTTATCTATCAATAGCCTGACTCCAGGTTTCATGTAGATAGATAGATAGTTAGGTAATTTCTTTCAATTTTTTATGCTAACATTTTCCCTCTTTTAGCATAGAGAGGTGAATAGAAATTAAATTTAAACATAATTTACATAGATACAATAAATCTTATGACACTTTGGAGACATTTCTTAGTTTTTTCTTTCAGGAAAAAAATGTGATGCAAATCCCTGAAAATTGTAGCAGTTTTACTATGGGTAGCATTGTTCTTCTTCTCCACAGAATAACTTACTACTAATAATTCTGAAGTTTGGGATTTTTGATAATTTGGATTTGGATTCAATTAGGGTTTATGTCTATGCCTAATTCATAAAAAAACTTTTAAACCAAATTGTCAAAAAAGACAGGTTTTAAACCTTGTTTAAAGAAAATATGTAAGCTATTTTCAAGAATTTCCAAGTACTTTTTAAAAGCAATTTTCTACATGTACATAAAGCATTTGGTACCTATACATATTTTTCATCTATTTTGTCAAAACAGATATCTAAAAGGCTCTACAAGGTCTCATTTTGACTTGATTTTAGATACTATATACATTAAAAAGTATTCCATAGCTCATATTGGCGTTTTCTGAATTTAATAAAAATTAGTGACAGTTTAACTGTGTCAAACTTATTAAAAAAAAAAAAGTCTAGTGATTTCAGTAGAGTACCTTCAGCATGAGTCATCTTTCCCTTTTCCAATAACCTATTATTTAATCCTACAGGAACACAATTGTCTTGATGAGACAGTTTTTCTCTTCACTGCATACATTTAAATCTTTTGTTATAATTAACTTTATCTCTTTGTGGGACATACAAAAATAATTATCATGTGCTTCTGTCCAATAATGGAGAAACAGGTGCAAGAGAGCTATATTTAGGAAAAGCCAGGTATAGAAGGGGTAAATATTAAAGTATTCAGTTGGTGATTGTGTTGTCTAGTTTAGGCAATATGATATTTAGCTAAAACTCTTGCATAGTGCTAGGTGGGCTGCTGTAGTAGTAAAAGTTAAACAGGGAATTCCCTGGTGGTCCAGTGGTTAGGACTTGGCACTTCCACTGAAGGGGGCCCGGGTTCGATCCCTAATTGGGGAACTAAGATCCCACAAGCCATGAGGCACGGCCAAGAAAAAATTAAAAAAAAAAAAAAAAGTTAAACAACTTGTAAAAAAAATTACTGATAATATGTACAATAAGGTCTAGTATCTTAAATTGAAGATAAATTTAATGTGTTTTGCCAGTATTTTAAATTTGATATTCATGGAAACTTTTATTTGTGAGGGCAATATGACAGTGTTTTTTGCAGATAAGGTGTTTTCTTCCCTTAGTGTAGTAAAAAGGCAAACAGTAGAAAGCTGGTAGATGCAGCCAGCTCTGGAGGGGAGAATGGAGGCAATATAAATTTTGCAGCTAAAGAAAAATATATGAGAACCAGTTATTATTAATTTTAATTGAAATTTTTTTGAGATAATTGTAGATTCATTTGCAGTTTTAAGAAATAATACAGAGAGATCCACTGTAGATTTTGCAAAGTTTCTCCCAAATTTTTCAAAACTATGGTATAATGTAACAGCCTAAATATTGACATTGATACAATACAATCCACCAATATTATTCAGGTTCCCCCAGTTTTACTTGTACTCATTTGTGTGTTTGTGTGTATCAAGTTCTAAACAGTCAATCAAAATACTGAACAGTTCGTTTTAACAGCACAAAGATCCTTCCCATTGCCATTTGATATCCACACCCACTTACTTCCCATCCCCAAATCCTGGTAACCACTAATCTCTTCTCCATTTCTAAAATGTTGTCATTTCAAGAATGTTATATACTGAAAAAAAGAAAGTCATATACTAAAAAAGCTAAACATAGAGTTATCATATGACCCAACAATACCACTCCTGGGTATATAGACAAGAGAATTAGAAATATATTCACATAAAAACTTGTAAATGAATGTTCACTGTAGCATTTTTTTTGTAGCATTTTTCATAAAGCCAAAAAGTGGACACAACCCAAATATCCATCAGCTGATGAGTAGATATGCAATATGTGGTATATCCATATAGTAGAATGTTATTTAGCCATAAAAAGGAATGAAGTCCTGATTCATGCTCCAACATGGTTGAACCTTGAAAACATTATGCTAAATGAAAAGAAGCCAATCACAAGAGGCAACATATTGTACAATTCCATTTATATAAAATGTACAGAATAGACAAATCCATAGAAACAGAACAGATTAGTGGTTGCCAGGAGCTAGGAGGAGGGGGGAATGGGGAGTGACTACTAACAGGTATGGGGTTTCTTTAGGGGATAATGAAAATGTTCTGGAATTAGATCATGGTGATGGTTGCACAACTGCAAATATACTAAAAACTGAATTGTACACTTTAAAGGGTGAATTTTATGGTATGTGGATTATATCTCAATTTAAAAAGTAAAAAATTGTTCAATATGGCTGCACAAGTCTATGAATATACTAAAAACCACTCAACTGTATACTTTAAATGGATGAACCCATGAATTATATCCTAATAAAGCTGCTTTTGTGTGTGTGTGTGGTACGCGGGCCTCTCACTGTTGTGGCCTCTCCCCTTGCAGAGCACAGGCTCCGGATGAGCAGGCTCAGCGGCCATGGTTCACGGGCCTAGCCGCTCCGCGGCATGTGGGATCTTCCCGGTTCGGGGCACGAACCCTTGTCCCCTGCATTGGCAGGCGGACTCTCAACTACTGCGCCACCAGGGAAGCCCCAATAAAGCTGTTTTTAAAATGTTATACAAAAGAATCATGCATATGTTACCGTTTGAGATTGGCTTTTTCATTCAGCATAATTTCCTGGAGATTTCTTCAAGCCCTTGTATCAATAGTTTGGTCCTTTTTATTGCTGAGATTGTGGTATGTATATACCACAGTTTGTTTAACCATTCACTTGTTGACTTGTTGGTTTTTTAGCTATCACATATAAAATTGCTATGAACATGCATGTACAGGTTTTTGTGTGAACATAATTTTTCATTTCTCTGGGATAAGTGCCCCAAAATACAATAGCTGGGTCATATGGTATTTGCATATTTAGTTTTAAAAGCAACTGCCAAACTATTTTCCAGAGTAGCTGGACCATTTTATCCTCCTACCAGCAACGTATGAGTGATCTGGTTTCTCTGCATCCTCACCGGTGTTTGGTGTTGTCATTATTTTGTATTTTAGATATTTTAATATATGTGTAGTGGTATCAAATTGTGGCTTTAATTTGCATATCCTTAATGGCTGGTGATGTTGAACCTATTTTTGTAAACTATTTATTTGTTTATTTAGGCTGGGCCGGGTCTTAGCTGTGACATGTGGGATCTTTTTTTTTTAGTTGCATCATGAGGGCTTCTTAGTTGCGGCATGCGTGTGGGATCTAGTTCCCCGACCAGGGATCGAAACCAGGCCCCCTGCATTGGGAGCACAGGGTCTCACCCACTGGACCACGAGGGAAGTCCCTGAACCTATTTTTATGTGCTTATCTGCTATCCACATATCCTTTCCGGTAAAGTTTCTGTTCAAGACTTTTGCCCATTTTTAAATCAGATTGTTTTCTGAGAGTCTAGAGTCCTTTATATATTCTAGACATAAGTCTTTTGTTGACAATTTTTATCAACAAGCT